AAAGGGGCCCTTATGTCGTATCCAGTAGGCAGTAGGCTTGCAGTGGGCATTCGATGTACGATGTGCTTGAAACGCCCATATTACGCGCACCGACGTTCATTTGCTCGCGCACAGTTTAGGCGTCCACCAAGACGCGAGGCCTGGCAGACGAATGAGTAGTAGTAATAATAGTTGGAATTTAACGTTTCAAAACCATGGTACGGTTATGAGAGACACCTTAGTGGAGGGCTCCGGAAGTTTCAACCTTCGGAGGTTATTTACGTGAGCCTAAATCGAAGTAGGCGTCAAGTATTTTCGCCTCCATCGAAAGTGTGGCTACCTGGGCCAGGATTCGATCCCACGACCCGCGGGTCAGGAATCGAGCACATTAACCACTAGATCGCCACTAGACAATGTGGCAGGCGAATGAGAATGCAATGTGAATGGAGCCCTATCACGCATTCGCGTTTAACTTTCGAAGATGGAGCTACACCGTACTTCAAGTATTTTCCTCTATTTTCTTCAATTTGAATATAAACTGTCACTATATAGCACGAAGGCTTCAAAATATCAATGACTTAATGACGAAGAATTCGGATGAAGAACAAATGTAAAGTAAGACAATCTCCATTGGTGAAGTCGCTTCTCTGAACAAGTCATTACACATCTTCTTTGTCTAACACATACTGCAGGCTCTTTATTTCGCCGAGGCGCTTTGTGTTGTTGATTTCGTAGCGGGCATTCTCACTGCTTTTTTGTAGTTTATTTATTACGGGGGGGAGGGTTCTATTTGTTGGGAGAGGGAGGGGCACAAGCACAATTTCACTCACTGTTTTTTTTTTAGGTTTGGCTCATCGGCTAAATACAACCAAGATTTTACGATGAAAGTATGCAATATTTGCTCCCTTACGACGATAAGTAAGGCGCAAGCAAGATAGGGACAAACGCTTCCGTGCACAAGTAACGCGCAATAACCACGGCCAAAGACATCCTGTGAGCCTGTCGAGCCACAGCTGTTCAATACTCACCAAGAGACTCACGATTTTAGCAAGTACTTCACACCCCAAGAGGAAAGAGGTGAAAAGCTGCGTGGAATTGCAACATCAAGGATATGTCCTACACGTATACACGTGACGCTATATATATATATATATATATATATATATATATATATATATATATATATATATATATATATATATATATATATATATATATATATATTATATATATATATATATATATATATATATGAGATATAACAGACAGTAATGCCAAGGAATGTACAGGGGAAGTTATTAAAACCAATGGAATGTAATAAGAAGAAAGAAAAGTGGATGAAAAAATTACCAACTGTGAGCAGGAATCGAACCTACGACCCTCATTAATATTGTGTTTAAAACACGGAAAAACGAGCCCTTAGGTATACACTTCTTTTCCTTATATATATATATATATATATATATATATATATATATATATATATATATATATATATATATATATATATATATATATAGGAGAGGCCGTTTTATATACATAGGGTCACCTTTGCTTGGCATTGAATTATTATTATTATTATTATTATTATTATTAAAGGAATGTCTGGGAGGGATCTACAAAAGTGTGAAAGTGTGTCTAGCTGCTGCGCTCAGAGGCTTACAATTACCCACAGCTTCCCACTTAGAAACTGCTGGTTGATTGGTTTACGAAGGTCAACGTCTTAAAGCCTCAGGCTATGCCACCGTAGAGGGCTCCATATTTCGACCAGCTGGGGCTCTTTAACGTTCACTCAAACCAAAGTGCACGGCCCCGTCACGGTGTTCTAGTAGCTAAGGTACCCGGTTGCTGACATGCAGGTCGTGGGATCGAATCCCGGCTGCGACGGCTGCATTTTCGATGGAGGAGAAAATGTCGTAGGTCAGTGTGCTCTCAGATTTTGGTGTACGTTAAATAACACCAGGCGGTTGAAACTTCCGGAGCCCTTCACTGTCTCTCATAATCATTTGGTGGTTTTGGGACGTCAAACTTAACATATCAATCAAGCCAAGGCACGCGGACCCCTAAACATTTCGCAAATGAAATACCATCGCGATGCATTATTTCGCAGTGGCGCTGTAGTAGATTCTGGTGCTCGCAACGAGGTCTTTTTCTTGGAAAAAAATCTCATCTCCTTAGGACATTTTCCAATTAGGAGAGATAACCACCCTTAGCATTCCTTCAGTCAACCACATCTCGCGTCGCCATTTTATCGGTCAAGTCAATCAGAAGTGACGTGCAAATGTTTTAAAAGCAAGTAGGTACCGTGCTTTTCTAAGCTCACTCTACGAGAAAAGCTGATAGGTGAAACAGGGCAAGGAAACCTTAGGAGAGGGGGGCAAATGGGGAGAAGCAGGAGGAGATCCGGGAGGTAAGGTTCCTTGTTCCGCGCGTGGGCTTTCTCTCATCCAAGTCACGTACGTGGACGGAGTGACGGTCCGAGAAAGACGGATGGGGTGGATCTCGTTTGTGTTTTAAGAGCACGGGGATGAAGATCATGGGTAAGACAGCAAGAAACAAAATGTTGGGGGGAGGGGGGGTAGCACCGTTTGCTTAGGCTTCGGGATCTACCGTCACTCAAATCGCCCGGAAGATCGGCGGTCTTGCGAACTAGAAAACGGCGAGGGGTCCGGGCAAGATACGCGAAGGCCTGCGATGTCGTCGCACAGAGGGAAAAGTGGCTCGCCGCACATGCTTATCAGGTAACGATAAGGAGCTTTTTCTGTGAAGAAAACACTCTGAAAAATCTGCATGCCAGCAGCTTATTGCGTAGTTTACGTATTCGGATTTGTGCGTTTATTATATTTGTATACATAGATGCACATATTTTGTTTTTCGATTCACAGAACGTGATTGCAACCAAAAAAAAAAGAAGGAACACAAGCTTGTATGTTTCACTCCTAGCATGTGCTATACGTTTGTTCGAAGTCGAAAACGTCGCGGTGGTTTTATAGCCTGTGTTACCGTCCATATTCTTATTCGCTTTTATTTCATTTGGGATAATGAAAATTGATAGAAGTTGCAAGGATCAGTCTGCTAACTGCAGCAGGCAACACAGTCATTTTCTATTACTTGACAGTAATCAACGCCAAATGGCATTTCTCTAAAAAGACAACGTCACAAAGATTTGTTATAGAGTTCTCATAGTTGCGCCGCTGGCGTTTCTATCCATGATGTCCTTCCTGGGTCATTAGATTATATAATACATGGATGTTTTGCGTCACTCAAGCTACAAAAACATCGGCTTATCACTACGTATTCTGTACAACTTACCATTAGGTGAAACTTTAGCGAAGCTATACAATCGAAAGTTTTAATTACATTTAATTTAAAGGTAAATAGGCGATAAAGACAATTGAATTAGCACTGTTGCCACCATGACACATATGACTTGCTGACTAAATCGAAGGAAGAGTAGCTGAAGGGAAGCAGTCCTATGATATTTAATTTTGCCGACATCTAACGCAATGTGGTGTTCCGATAGAGTGATGTCTACACATTAACTAGATATAGGTAATATCTCTGAAGAGCTCTTCTAAACAAATTTAGGTGGTACAACCGAAGGTTTCATGTTACTTCTATAGATTGATTTTATATACTGCTTATATACGCAAATATAAATATAAATACATTACACACATCTTGCAAAAACCAGGAAATCATCACTGACACGCTCTCGTATTGCTTAAAGACCCCCTTCCCCCAAATCGAGACAGTCTTCCTTGGCGATTTATTTTGCAAAACCGAGAATGTTTTTTCAGGCGTGTGCATCGTATACTCCTTTTAAACTAACGCTTTGTCGCCATCAATACAAATATGCGGAAAGCGGCATGCAGGGTTCTTTGCTTTGTTTATACTTCCTTTGTGTTATCTGGTGTTTCATATCGATAAGATCCACCGACTGACCAGCACACAAACTAGTAGAAATGGCCCGGTGGCATTACGGAGCGATAGCACTGTGAATGCATTGATAAAAAAAAAGGAGAGCGGTCGGCAGAGAGGAGCATGCAGGAGAGCACGCACCTGCCCTTTTAAAAAGTCCTTATCCTGCTCCCCGGTTCAAAGTGTACGCTCTTCTTCGCAAACTCGGAGAAAAAGAAAGGAAGATTGTTGCATCGTGGTGGTTATTATTTTTTTTCTTTCCTGAAAAATATCGCGAAAGGCGGGCGACGTACTTTCGGCGTCCTTGCTAAACTCGTTTTCCAACTTACGAATGAAAAAATAAAATCAAACAATAACAGGAAAAGCAAATGAAGACCTTAAAACGGCAAGATGCGAAAGACGCAGCTTGTAAGCAAAAAAAAGGTATCGTAACAAACACGGAGTGGAGATAAGACGGAAAGTGAAAGTGGTCGCCCGATGCATAGAGGAGGCTGCAGGGTAGCTGAAACATCGCCAAGAACACCGAAAAGGGCGAGGAACGACGGGCAAGAAAGAAAGGAGCTGTGATAGATGAATAAGTAAACGGAGGCAGTCCATTAAGAAGAGGGCCGTAATAGACGGAAATTAAAGGGAAGAGGCTGCGCGCTCCTCCTATCTTACTTGTTTTCATTCGCCCGCTTTTCGTTGGGTGGCGCTGCGCGCGTCGCGTTGCCCGCTCCTCTCTTTTGGGCCCGTTCGTTCAGCGTCGTGCCTCGTCGTTTCTTCTCTTTGCCCGCTCAGCAAACGAAGATTTATTCGCTCGCGCGCCTCGTCGCCTGAGTCGAGGGTAGAAACAAGCGGGAGGTCGAAGACGAGAACGAGGAAGAAAGGAAGGAGGGGTTCTCGTTGCGTGCCGTAGCCTTTTGCTCGCCTGCCTTCTGCTGTTGCGACCGCTGTGTGTGAACCGTTTTCCTTCTCTGGCTGGCCTCTATGCGGGTATAGGGAGTGCACGCTTGCCCGACTTGTCTGGTGGTCCCTGCTCTAGCTTTCGGATGACGACGGGAAGCAGACCGAGATGAAGGCTGCGAAACTCGTCGCTCCGCACTATAGGAACCGCTTACTCTTGCTCCCTTCTCGTGTCCCTCCGATTTGCGTGCATCGCGTCGACTCTGAATGCGAGTCTGATAAGACAAGGAAAAAAAAAGGCCAGAGTGTGAGCTCACTAAGAGTGGCAGAATTCAATTTCTCTTGAATTCACTTATCCGATAGCCAGGAGCATATGTCGGCTAAATGAAAGCGGGACTTACTCAGACTCACTCAAAGAAGTATATTTTGCACTTAGTACTCACTCCGACTCATACTTACAAAAAAAAAAAAACATTACTAAACCGGGCTCACGGAGACTCAAACGCGACAAAAAATTACTCACAGGAACTCACACGGACTCACAGCTCGATCAGAGTTTCAGTTACTCTGAGTAACTCGACTGGTGCGTGAATAGCCATACGCAATAATCTTGAGTCACTTAACGTGTAGCTTGATAGCTTAACAGTTCAGTGCCGCGAAAAAGACGCCTTGGTATCTCGCGTGTTTCTAAAATCAGTCATTAACTAGTACAGCTCATGCATGCTTCATGTCATTTAAATCTTATAAAGTGACTTCTTTTTTTTTTATTGAGTGACCAATATTTCCCAATGTGAACAACCTATTTCAGTTCATTACAAAGAAATGTGATTCACGAGAAAACAAATATACAAATAAAAATTTATCGACGTTCGTCGCTAAACAGACAAACTTCTGACCCGACTTTTTTTTTTCCTTTTTTTTTACTTGTGGATCTCCGCACCTGCGACATGGCCCCAGACAAAACATTCGTTGGACTTTTCAGCAACCGGGACGCCACGACAATACAAACACACACGCTCCATACCGTCTCGCCTTCCTTCTCATTACCATTCCCTCCGGTGTATAGCGCACGCAGGCGCGCAAACTGGAAGCAATCAAGCTTATCTCGCCGGCGTATTCGGAACCGGAGCCGACAAAGCGGCATAAGCGAGCGTCGCATTGTCGACACTTACATAAGTACACACGCACA